GAAGTGAAAACGGTTTTTTTTTTTTTTTACGGGAGAAATCTTTCTTTCTTTTTTTTTAAAACTATTTCCTCATTACCTAATCCGATCATTTATTATCTATCTCTTTTATTTATTAAAAACGATTAGGATTATCGGATGAAAATAATAAATTTTACTTTTCGGATTAATTTGGAGTTTATTTAAATGAACAACAACAACAACAACGTAAAAGTCGTCGAATTTTTTTTTCCGCCATCTTGTTTTTAAATTTTAATCGATTCGATTATGATTCGTTTATAATTATTAATTAACTTTCACACATTAAAACTCATTTAACAAATAATAAATAAATAAATAAATCTCGTGTTTGTTTTATGATAATAATAATAATAATAATAAATAAATCACGTTTTTATATATATAAGAAAAAATTAATTAAAAACTGGAAGAAATTTTATCATAACGCGATTTGATAACACGAACGATACTAAAGAATGTTACGATACATTCACTTTACAATTTTTTTAATAAAACCGGAAATAAATAACGGAAAAAAGGAAATGTTTCTTTAAAAAGTGAAAAAATTATTAATGCCATTTACGCACACGCACAGACGCACACCCGCACACTTTTTCCACACAAACAGGCTTTGATTGTGATAAAAGCTTTTCCTATAAAATTCGAAAGTTTTTTTAAAAATTTAAACAATTAGAAAATTGACAGTTATCATTTCTTAACGTATTTATGACGTCATTATTTCTTAACGTATTTATGATGTCATTATTTCTTAACGTATTAATTGCATTGATTGCAAAATTGACTGACTGACTTTGTTAGCGTTTACTTACAAAAAAAATTGACACCTGTTGTTGTTGTTCGGTTAATATCAAATTTTATTTTTTTTCTATTATTATTATTATTATTATTATTATTATTATTATTATTATTATTATTATTATTATTATTATTATTTATCATAAAAAAAATGTTTAAAAGCGGGGAAAAGCCGATAAATAAATTTTCACGGTAAATAATTTTTTTAATAAAAATTGATTAACCAAAATAAAAATAAAAAAAAAAAAAAATCAGGCAAAGGTAAACAAGTAGTGTTGCGTCAAAAAAAAAAAAAAAAATCACATAAAAATATTTAAAATTCATTGAAAAAAAAAAAAAAAAAAAAAAAAACGTTTTGGGTTCACGGTTGTGAGTTTTTTTTTTTCTCGTAGGTTTGTATTTAAAAACAACAAACAACAAACAACAACAAACAACGACAACAACAAAAAAAAAAAACGGGTGCAGGTGAAATAATCCAATTATTATTTGCTTGTTTTTTTTTTATCGATAACACACACACAAACAAACAAACAAACGTAAAAACACGTGGTTATAAAATTTATTATTATTTAATCGTAATAATTTTTAAAATTTTTCCCCTCCCCTCTTAACATTCATTCATTCAAAAAAAAAACAAAAATTTATAATAATGATAATGAATTTATATTTAAAAATATATAAATATGTATAAAACAAGTTTTGAATGGTAAAAAGAAAGTAAAAATTATTATTATTATTATTATTATTATTATTATTTTAGCAAGTTGTTCTTTGTGTCGTGCGTGCGTGTATTTCCACAAAAATATAATAATAATAATAATTACGTAATAATAATAATTTTAAAAAATGAAACTTTCACGCCATTTTTTTTTTTTTTTGAGGATAAGGAAACAATAACAACAACAAAAAAATTTTAAATTGAAATTTAAATTTAAATTTAAATTTCTTTTAAATCTTTTACCTTCAATCGTTTAAAAAAAAAAAAAAAAAAAATTTCAAACTTCTTAAAACGAAGGTTCGTTCGTTCGTTCGTTCATTTACTGTCTTGTATAAAAATTTATTTTGTTCAAGGCATTTTAGTTTTTTTTTTTTTTTTTTCCTCCATTTTAGTTTTTTTTTTTTTTTTTCTTATTGCATAAGTCCGAACTTGATTTTAGGAATGTGTAATAAAAATGTCTATTTAAATTATTATTTATATAAATTTTTCTTCTCTCTCATCCTATTAAGTAAAACAAATCGAAAAACAAGACGACGACTACGACGATCCTTTCATATAATTTTGTTTATTTACTCTATGACTCTATGATAACGTATAATTTCCATTCTTTTTTTTTTCTTTTTTCTTTTTTTTTTCTAGAAAACTTATTGAAATATTATGGCAAATCGATTAAAAAAATTATTATTTACAAATATATTTAATGACGCGTGCGTTCGCCGCCATTTTGTTTTTTAAAAACAAAATTTAGTAACGAAAAAACATAAAAAAATTATCGATGATTTTTTATTGTTAATTTTACGATCGATTTTTCTTTTCTTTTCTTTTTTTTCCCCTCTCGAATCGATTGTTTGTTGTTAAACTAAAAATTTTCCCAACAACAAACACTCTTAGGTACGTTAATAGTAATAATAATATTAATTTAAAATACTTGATTGACGTCACACGTTAAGGAGTTTTCCTCGTGGTGTTTATTGGTGTCGTTAAAACAAACGTCAAACAAAGTTTGTACTTTAATACGTTAACAATCGATGACTTATATATAAAAAAACTACAACAACTACAAACATTTATTACGTTTTTAAATAAATTCTACAAACTTGTCAACTTGTTTTTTTTTTTTTCATTTTTTTAAATATATTTTTTCATACATACGATTCGTTACTATTGCAAATTTTTTTTTTTTTTGCATCATACAAATCGGAGCGAAAACAAACAAACAAACAAACAAACAAACAAACAACGCCTCTTTGTTTACCTTTGCTCTACCTGTAAAATTTCCAGATTTTATTTTATTTTTTCCAAGCGGATTTTAATCCTCGCGTTTGTAGATTACAAACAAATTAAAAGGAAATTTTTTTTCTTTTATCCTTCAAATAAACATTTACTTATTTATTTGAAGGTAATTATTATTATTATTATTATCATTATTATTATCAAATTTCGTCATTGAAAGTAATAATAATTAGTGATAATAATTATCATAATAATAATAATAATAATAATCGTTAGAGAGAGAAAAAAAAGTAATAAGTAATAAATTTGCATAGAATTAAATATTCGCGTTAGGTTAAATCTACAAAATTTTTTTTTTTCGACAACAAACAAACAACAAACGACAAACAGTAGCAAAATCAATTTTTGTAATGATTTATTTGCGCCTCGTCTGGCATAATATCGTTTTTAAATAAAAAAAAATCAATTAATTAATTAATTAATAAATAAATAATTTAACAACGGGAGACGGCGGGATTCAATTTATTTTTCGCAACGTCACATTTTCAAGGTTTGTTTTTCTGGATATTGAAAAAGGGGGAACGATGATGGTGGTGGGGAGGGGTATAAAGAAGGGGAATAAAGGGGGATAAAGGGGAGGGAAATGTCTTATCACGGAATAATTTAATTCGATTTAAAAAATTTAAATATTGATTTGATCCTTTTTTAAACGAAATTTTAACTTTTAATTTTTTTTTTTTTTACTATTTACTAACGTAAACTTGTTTGTAAACGTGAGAGTTACAACAAACAAACAAACAAACAAACACAAAACAAATTCGTACAAACGCTTTTTTTAAAAAAATCGAATAAATTTTATATTTAAATTAGTCATTATTTATTAATGTCAATTTTAGGGTCGAGGTCAGTACAAAAAAATTCGTTGAAACAGTTGTAGAAAAATTTTTTTAAAAAAAATTTACTTATTTAAACAAATTGTTTAATTTATTATTATTATTATTATTATTAATATTTTCCCATAATTTTCTACGTAGGTACGTAGATTTAGAAATAAGGATCGTCAAAGACCATGCGTTCAATATAATTTTATAAACATGTCGTTTTGACAAAAAAAAAAAAAAAACATTTTTATACTACCCGAATTTATTTCTTTAAACCCTGTGACACGCAAACGTACCTTAATCATTATTATTATTATTGGTAACGATTTGTTAATAATATTCATCTCAGAATTATGTATTTTTTTGAAAAACCTTGAACCACTTCTCTCTTCTTCTTGTGTGCATTTTCTCTGGAAACTTTTTTTTTTTTTTTTTGCAAAATTCATCGCCTTGTCATATTCTCGCAAGAATTTTTTTTTTTTTTCAAATAATAATAATAATAATGATGATGATGATGATGATGATTTGTTAAGTACGAAAGGAATTACGCGTTTCACACGTCTGTCCGTCTGGGTTATTGCACTAAAGACCTAAATTTATGCGCCGGTATACAATAATGAAAATTCGTCGTTGCGTGACCTTAAAAACATTTACGGAAGGATATTTTATTATTATTATTATTATTATTATTATCGTACGAGATGATGAGGATTATTAGCTTATGGTTATAAATTTTTTTTTCAGGTACGAATGAAAATATAACCGCCGTAAACATAATATTTTCTCATAAGTTATGATTTTTTGTTGTTGTTGTTTTCACAAATTTTTCGCGGTTAAATTTAAAAAAAAAAAAAAAAATTATTATTTTTTGTTTGAACCTTGACCTTTTGCTTTACCGACAATCACAACAATTGAATATATTTTAAAAAAAAAAAAAAAAAAAAAAAAACTTATTATTAACGTGACGTATATTTTTGTCACGCATTGCACACAAGTTTAAAGGTTTCCTAAAAAAAAAAAATTTTATGTAATTGAGTTAAAGGTCCATTTTTTTTTTTTTTTTAAATTTTTTTTTACGTAATGTATTTAATTGTATAATTAACCATATTTTCTATCTCTCTCTCTCTCTCTCTCTCTCTCTCTTAAAATATTTAACTTTGATAATGATAATAAACAAATGAGGTTTAATGTACTTTAATAAAAAAAAAGGTTATTTAACATAACACGAATTTCATACTTTTTTAATTAATTACTCTTTTACAAAAAATACGAGACATGTTTATTTATTTATTTTTGCGATAAACATTTTATTATTATTATCATTATTTATTTTTTCAGGGAGCTGAGGCAAAGAAATGCCGGCCCTTCAGCTCTTTGGTCGAAAATGGCTGGCAGCTACGGATGACATGGTCTTCCCAGGTTTTTTCGAATTTTTATTACGTTTATTATGGTTTGTACACATATATTTAAATAAATAAATTATTTATTAAGGTACGATCACGATGGATAATAATCATGTTTGATTTTGTTTCAGGCTGACCTTATTATCTTGTGCCACGTCGAGATACTACCCTTTAACGTACGAATGTAACACCGGTGGTGATTTCGTTAGATTTTATTTAATAGGAATGTTGACAATATTAGCACTCGTTATGTTTACATTAATAATATTAATTAATAGAAGCGCACAAGGAGCCATAACGGATACAAATGCAAGACGATTCGTACCACATATAGTAGCCTTTAAGTAAGTTATTGCCTTTTCACCATCCGATCTCCATTTTGTTGTACTCAGGTATGAAAAAAAATTAATTATATTTTATTTATTTAATTTACAGGGTTTTCTTATTATTACCCGAAGTAGGTTTAAACATAATGGGAACGATATGGGCATTAAGTAGTTTAATAGACTGCGACGTAGAAAAATTTACCTGTCACGTAATCGAAGGTTTAATAGTATTCGATTGGGGTCTATTTGCCCTATCTATATTCGGTTTGGCATTTGTTTTCGATCCAATAGGTTCGACGTCATACTACGAAAAATTAAATAACACGGATGCCAACATAGAATCGATAAAACATAGGAAAACCACACGACTTTGGATCAAAAGGTTCAGATGGTTTTTTTGTTGGGTTCGTAAGGATGCACATTGTCACGAAGCATTTCAACAAGTGGCAGGTTAGTTAAATAAAATAAAATTTTAATGATCGGGGGGGAGAGGGGGGAGAAATTATGCAACGTAGGAGAAACAAAAAAATTACAATCGTGATTTGGTTGTTTTTATAGAAAAAGAAAGTGAATGTATTTTGAAAGATGAATGAAAGAAGATGAAATTAGTGGCATAAATTTCCTCAAGTAAAAGTTTAATATAAAAGAAAGGAAAAGAAATGATGGATCAAACCCACTTTTTACCATTTTCTTTTTTTTATTTACCGCCATTATTATTATTATTATTATTAATTTTGGTAATTATTTTCCGATAGATTTTTTAACGGTCTCCAAGTAAACTTTTACTTTTTTTTCTCGTATATATTATTAGTAATGATTATTATTATTATTTTCATTTTAGCTTTGCTCAGCGTTATTTTTCGGAGTACGGATTTGGTACCATCGGATATAATTGCCGGTTGCGTTTTGTTACGCGTTAAACAAAAGAGGAAAACTCGGGAAGTGAGGAGACTTCAATTGAAATCCGACAAACAACCACGAACAAGTTCGGACATACGTGAAATATTCGCTTCGGCCCCCCAATGGATGTGTTTGAAAAAAGCCAAACATTATCTTAATCTATCGATAGCCGCTTACGGTTGGCCTTATCTCATGTATAAATATTGTGCGACCGGTATATTCAGACTCCTACCGGAAATGATGTGTTGTTTTTGTTTTAGGTAATTCCCCTTTCACCCCCCCCCCCCGATTAAATCCTCCGGGAAAAATTTTTTTATAAAATTATTTGTTTCAGAGTGAAATCAACGTTTGTTACAAACGATAATTGTTGTTTGTGTAATTTGGCGGGTGTTAAATACATGTCGAAAATTCCAGAAGAAGATATTTTATTTGCATCGTTTAGAAATCACGTTTTCGAAGTGAGTTGATTTTGTTATTATTATTATTATTATTATTAATACTCGTCATCGTAATAATAATAATAATAATGATTTTTTTTTTCAGATACCTTTTTGCGTCATAGCACATCATAAAACGAATAGCATAGTGATAGCGATAAGAGGTTCGATTTCTCTTAGGGATATTTTCACGGATTTAACGGCGGGAGCGGAAAAATTTGTCGCGGATGGTATTCCACCGGATAGCATGGCACATAAGGGCATGATGGCGGGTGCTAAATATTTAAAAAGACGTTTAGATGAAGTCAGCGTTTTGGAAAGAGCATTTGCCATGTACCCGCAATACGATTTAATAATAACCGGTCACAGTTTAGGAGCAGGTGTTGGTGTATTGTTAGCATTAATGTTGCGTCCGACGTATCCAGAACTCAAAGTGTATGCTTTTGCGACTCCAGGTATTTTCAAATCAGGTCTTAACCCTAATAAATAATAAAATTTTTGCGAAAGATTTTTTTTACGCTGTTTGTTACAGCTGGTCTTCTTAGCAGGGAAGCTGCAAAATATACGGAAAGTTTTGTTTTTACCGTCGGAGTTGGAGATGATTTTGTTATGAGGCTAAGCGTCGACAGCGCAGAAAATTTAAGATGTAAAATATTACAAGTGTTATCAGCATGCAGATTACCCAAGGTACCCTGCCCCTCCCCCCATTTACTCCCCCCTAAAATCCAAATCATCTATTCATTCTCGCATGTAAATAATCGTTTTCTTTTTCTTCTTCAGTATCGCATAATGATAAACGGATTCGGTTATGCATTATTTGGCATACCATCGAGAGATTTAGAATCTACTTGGCGTAACGACATGTCAACAACGGCACCATCTTTACAGGGTCAATTACCACTTTTATACGATCCTTATCACATACATTCGATTGATGCCAATCCGGAAGCTAATTTATTAGCCAAAGACGTCACACTACGAAGATTTTCAAGAACGAGACTGTTTACTGCCGGTAGAATACTACACATAACCTATAGGAAAAAAACTAAACAGGAAAGAAAAACGGGAACGGGTGGACCCACGTTCGAAATGAAATGGGCCGTACCTGAAGATTTTACCGAAATTAAAGTCGAACCTAGAATGTTGTTGGATCATTTGCCGGAAAATTTAGAAAAAGTTATCGATACCGTTTTAGGTGAACAAAGAATCGATATAAGTGATATTAATTATAGGCGTAATAAAATATCTCTCATATGATTTATTATTATTATTATTATTCGTCGTGAGTTTTTCATTTCATAGAGAAAATAAACGCGGACGATGAAAATTAAAACAAAAAAAAAAAAAAAACATCTGACGATGTTTAAAAAATTTTTATTTTATTTTTTTAATAAATAAATTCGTTTATTTGACGATAATCGAATCGAAACTTCGATAATCGATAAAATATCGATTAATTGTTTTAAATTGTATAAATAAAATTATTTAAATAAAAAAAGAAAAGAAAAGAAAAATGGATGAATAAAAAACATAAATACTTTTTTTTATATGTGATATGTAATTAATTAATTAATTAATTTTATTTAAATGTATATATTTTTTATTATTATTATTATTATTAAAAATCGATAATTGTTACAATAGACCTGTGATTCATTTTGTAAACATTTTTTTTTTTTTTAAACAAATAAATTTAAAATTTTTAAAAAAATTAACTTTTTGTTTTTCCTTTTTCGAAAATTATTAACGTATTGATTAATTTTTAGATGTTCGTGTTGATTTTAAAATTAATTTCACATAACATAAAACGAGTCTTAATAATAATAATAATAATAATAATAATAATAATACTGACCGACATGTTGAATTTTATAAGGCTTAAAAAAAAAAAAGGAAAAAGGAAAAAATTATACATTTTTCATGTTCTATCACGGTTATTTATAAACTCGTGAATGAGTCAGTGTTATGAGGCAGGGGGTGGGGGGCGGAGGCGACGGAGGCGGGGGCCTTATTCCCCCTCTTTCGTTTTTTTCCTTAAATGCCTAACAAACAAACGACTACGCACATATCGTTTGTTGTTTCCGTTCATTTCGTTTCGTTTTATTCTCCTTTCGAATTGGATTCGGTTGTCATTATAAACCACGTGTTAAGGAGTGTTGTGAGTGTGTGCGTGCGTGTAAAGTTTTTATAAAAAAAAAAAAAATGC